ACGACTGCTTGATGCAGTCCTTCTTCCCTTGTGAATTCATTAACATGATCCATAGTAAATTCAATCATTGGCTCTCCATGAACGACACTAACAGGAAACAATTCTAGTTTTGACGCAACTGTGGCAGATTGTTTGGACTGAAGTTGCGCAGCATATGTTTGTTTTCGATTGAGATTAGGATGTGTTTCATTAGGATATTGGGTTGTCTCTCCCATAGCCAAAGGTTGGGGAGAGCTCGCAGCAGCCATGGCTGCCAAAACTCACAAGATCGCCAAAGCCTAGAGAGAGAAAGAAGAGAGAAGGAAGAGCAAAATCAGCGTTGAACCGGGTTTTAAAATTGTCTGGTCTCTTAGACCTTAGGTTTCAAGGCATGCGTTGCACTCTTTTCCTTCGACCGGGTTTTATCCCAAGAAGGGTTTTACTGGCAAGGTTTTTAACGAGGCAACACCTATATGCTACCTAAGGAAAACAAGTATTTAAGGCTTCATTTCAATCAACCTCGAATACTGGGGGGCATCCCCCCGGGAGGTCACCTTTTCGAAGAAGTCGAGATATGCCAAAAAGGGTTTTGATAGGAAAATAATGTATCGGGCCAAACGGTCGAACGAATTATGTCCGTATAGAATAACCAAGCCCTTGACAGCGAAAACATGTATACTTGTACCAAGTAATGAAGAAATATTTGTTCTATAAAAACGCTTTGCACTTCGAAGAAATCTGCTATTTTTTCAAGAAACGACTCCAGAGCCAGGAAATTTCCAAACACTCGGGGACTGACGTCAAAAACTCGAAGTTGCATGACCTTCGGATCCATAACTTCGAACTAGTAAGCCCTCAATGAGGCAACCCCAAGCTTACACAAAATGGCTCCAAAGCCAAAAAATTCTCAATATCTCGGGGACTATCGCCAACTGCCACCCATCGACTTATCGAAAACACCGAGGCTATAAGACCACATGTGGGTAACCTCGAGCTCATAAGACCTTCATAAAGGCATGAACCATACTTGTACCAAGTAACCAAACCTGTAATACCTCAAGCAAGGTATGAATCATACTTGTACCAAGTAACCAAATCTGTAAGACCTCCAGCAAGGCATGTTAAAATTTGCAAGACCTTACAAAAGGCATAATCCCGATCTTAAAAGTTAAGGCTATATATCCGAACTTGTAAGACCCCTAAAAAGGCATACCCTCGATATAGACGCCAAAACTACTTCACTCGGAGACTTAAAGGATCCGGCCGAATGCAATGACCACGGTCACAACCAGCCAAACTAACGCGACTCGGGGACGCTCGACTGTCGCTATAAAATCACAAGCCTTCAATTACTTCGAAAAAACTTCGAAACGAGCCGGTTAATTAGGCTACCCTCGACTTAAGCGAAAGAGCTTTGATCATATCAGCTCCAAACTACAGGCTTTGAAATCATTCAGCCATCGAGTGAAACCTCCCGAGGTTCTCATCTATCGCCGCATAACGGCTCACAATCGAGGTTCTTATCGAACGGTCGAAGAGTCGGGCGAAATTAAAAACTTCAAAAGTCTTTAAAGAGGGAAAAATAAAGCCTACACTAAGAGGTCGTACCGACCCGATGCGTAAGAGCCACTGCCGCCAGCCCATATAAAGAGTCGTACCGACCTAATACGTAAGAGCCACTACCGCCAGCCCATATTACAGGTCGTACCGACCTAATGCGTAAGAGCCTAAGGGCCAGCTTGAAATTCAAAACTTGAAGGCCAATGAGCTCGAGTCGAAATCTGACTCGGAGACTGAGCCTGAAACAGTTAACTAAAAAACGCCTAAGGGCACGTACGTGAGAGCCACTATCGCCAGCTTAAAATTAAAGGTCGTTCCGACCCAATGCGTAAGAGCCCAGACGCCAGCCTATATTAGAGGTCGTACCGACCCAACAAACAAGGGCCTACGAGTCATCCCAACAAGCCTCAGGGCCCGAATTACAAACCAATGGGTTTTTACTCAAAGGCCAATTCATCTGGCTAATCATTGACAAAACGTCAAAGCTCAAGACAAAGAAAGACACACACAAGCAAATAGAAATTCATGGAAATAGAAAACCAGAAGGTTTCTTTATATATACACATGTATGAAACAATGTGAGGCTACATTTACAAAGTTCTCTAAGAACACCGTACCAAGAATCAAATAGAAAAAAGCCAATTCTATTTTCCCCTCGGGGACTGCGGCCCCATCGGCCTCTTCTCCACTATCTTCGGCATCAAACAAGAGGAATCTGGCGTCATACTCATCCGCCCTGGCCTGCGCTATCTCTTCCGAGAGATCGAAGCCCCTAGCATGAATCTCTTCGAGGGTTTCCCTTCGAGATTTGCATCGGGCATATTAATTTCTTCTGCTCTCTCGATCGGAAGCACCTCTCAACTTTGCTCGAACCTCAACGGCGTCTTTTAAATAGATGGCCACTTTCTTATCAACCTTAGTTTGGATCGCTTTGGCTTCAGCCCCGGCGTTCGCAACTTCGGCCTTCACCTTCAGAAGCTTAGACTCGAGCCTTGCGAGCATGTCCGTTCGAACCAGGCAGTTCTCACGAGCATTTCAGAGCTGCACCTCGAGAGCAGAAGCCTTGGCCAGAGCATTCTTCTTGGCCGAAACATGGGCATCTATCTGAACTCTTAGCTCGTTACACTCATGCCTAGCCTGGCCAACCTCGCCCCAAAGGCGTTCCAGGTCCTCTGTCTTGCTCTGCAACTAAGGTATCAAAATATTAATATCTGAGGATAGAAAAAGGAGAATGCACTCCCTTAGAACAAAGGTTGCCTGTTTCTCTAAGTCACTCTCGTAGTTCAGGCTTCGATTCGCCTCGTACCGAAGGTGCTTCAATTATTTTCCCCTTTCATCACAAAGGAGCCTGAGGGACTTCTCCCTGCCCAAGGCTTTCCTTAACCGGGCTTCACAGAGAAGCAGCTCGGACTTGAGCTTGTCAAAGGCCTATGAAAAAGAAGCTTGATAAGAAAACAAAAACGTAAAATCAAAAGATCAACGGAGTCGACCAAAGCTCACCATAGAACAAAGCCGTTGAGCCTCCTCAAAGGTCAAACGTGCACTTGCTGGCTTGGTCTCACCAACCCCAGTTGAACCAATCTTGGTGGGTGCACGGTTGCTCGAGACCCTGCTTGATTTAGGCGACCCTTGGTCTCGAAAACCCCTCGAAGTACCTTCGACAGGGGGTGAGGACGGCGGCAGAACACCTGTATCCCTCGAATTACCTTCGGCGGGAAATGAAGACGGCGGCAAGAGAGGAACCACTTTTCCAAGGCTAGAAGCCTCAGATGCCGCAGGATCAGCAGATACGTCTTCTTTGAGCCTTCGAGCAGGGCTTTCTTGCTATGAGCACTCTCATTCTTCGAGGACCCCTTCCGCTTGTTGTCGGTCCTCGACCCCAAAGCCGAAGATTCTTCCTCCTCCCCGAAGGGGCATGACTCATCTCAGAAAAATCTCCAATGCCTGTGGTGACAGAGTTAGTACACATAAAAGAAAATACCTTTCAAAGGAATCAAGCCACACACCACGTACCGTGATGTTTTGCCTCCCATCTGCCCTTGGCCAGATCTCGCCACTTACGCTGATTGTAAGTCTATCAAGCTGCCAGTTTTCGTGACCAATCTGCCAGGTCGTGAACCTCGTATAGCATCCATGGGATTGCTGCAAAAGGAAAAGGAAAGGAAAGCATCTTTACAAAGTCCGCCTTCACCATGGGCAAAAATAATAAGAACACTTCCACTTACGTGTGAAATTCCATTTCTCAGGAAATGGAAGGAACTCTACGGGGATAATATCGACAGCCTGCACTCGGACAAAATGACTCATCCACCCTCGGTCCCCATATTCTTCATTGCAAACAACAAACGGCCGAGTGGATCAACGTCAGAGAGTGATCAGGCCTCGACGATGCAAGGGCCAGTACAGTATGAGAAGATGACTGAGGGTGAACTCGAGACCGGCTTTATCTGCAAAATACCTTATCATCAACACTATCCTCCAAAATGACAGGTGAACCTGTGCCAACGTAACCCGACATCTCCTAAAAAATTCGAGCTTGACTCTCTCGAGGAGGCCTTACGTAAAGGGGTACGTATACATGTTCAAAAACCCCTCGACATGAGCCATGATGCTCTCTTCCGGGGAAAGCCCTTGCAGTACCACTTTTTCTCCCCATTCGTAGTCCTTTCTAACAACCTCGAGGTGCTCCTCCCCTATTGATGAAATAAACCTCGACGCATGCTCCCGATGACCCTGAGCATTGGGAGGTCTCTCTAAAGCAAAGTCCCTCCTCGTGTCAAAGCACCTCGTGAGTAGCTCACCAGGTACCAGCGGTGTACCACCGACCAAGGGCAAGGCAGAGGCGAAACTCTCCTCTCCTTGGTGAACGTATTTTGACGTAGCAGCCATGGAAGGTAAAGGCTTGGGCGAAAGCTTTTGGAATGGTAAGAGAACTAGAGCAGAAAAGAGCTCTATAAAAGGGGTAATTACTCAAAATAGTGGAGTCCTCAGACAAGAGATAAGAGAATGCATATATATAGAGCAAGCAGTGACTGTTCACCTATCCTGAAGGCCAATTAATTCAGACCATGTCAGCGCCATTTTTTTAGGGAAGTGTACAGATGGGACCACCCCGGTCGCTTCACAACCGTGGCACATAAATGATACTGTCACACAGCGCTCGGGGGCCATTAAGACCCCGAAGAATTCTGTTGTTATAAGCATCAATTCCAAAAGGCAAATTGACCTAACCACGAGATGGTGCCCGATCTCGAGGATCCCGACTACTCCAAATATGGGCTCCGAAGAGCCAACTTCAAAATCCAACAGACTAACTTTACATAAGCATTGGGAATAAATTCGAAGACTTGAAGCAGAGAAATATTCTTATATAGACAAAATATATTTACAAGGGGCGTCTTTGCAAGACCTTTTTTCCCCGAGAAGTTCATACACAAAAAAGAATGGAAGACGACGTGGGCCTATTCTTCGCCGTCACTGCTCTCCAGGTCGTCTCCAGAACCCTCATCCGAAGTAGCCGAAAATGCCAACTTTTCCTCCAAATCTAAGGCTTCCTCAATCTCAGCCGAGAGATCAGTGCCTTTAGCACTTACTTCCTCGAAAGCTTGCCTCCTTGCCTCTGCACGAGCGTAAGCAACTGCCCTATCCAGCTTGTGCTTGGCTTTCTTCAATATTTCTCGGGCTCGTTCATTCGCAGTAGCGGTATCTTTCTTGTATGAAGATGTGTCCTCTTCGGCCTCAGACTTGGCCGCAAATAATGCAGCAGCCTCCTTTTGGGCACTTTGAAGGAGACCCCGGGTCGATGCCAGCTTCGACCGCAAATTGTCTCTTTCCGAGGCCACGCCCTCATTTTGCCCCCTCGGCACAATGATCTCCGCATCCTTGGCTGTAGCCTCTTCCTGAAGTCGCCCCATGGCGGCATCCTTTTGCCCTATCTGGAAAAGACAAAACAAAGTTTGTAAGCATCAAGCTACGAGAAGAAAAAATTAACTCATGGATGTCGTGTTACCTGCTCAGCAAGGCCATCCCTTTCCTGGTACACTTCTTCCAAACTGGCCTGAAGCCTGCTCAACTAATCCCCCTTTCGGGTGGAGGAGGTCCTCGACTCTTTTATCTCCGAGGTAAGTTTTTTGACCTCCTTCCCACAGCATGAAAGCTCGCCTTGGAGCATAGAGAAGGCATGGTCATATATCTTCTTAGCCTGCAACAACACAGAAAAATCAGAAAATCGAGCACAAGAAAGCACAAGTGATATGTTGAGAGTACCACCTACTGCTGAAGCCTCTCTGCCTCCTCGAGAGTAGCGGGAGCATTGAGATCGATATTATCATCGTTGCCAGCAAGAAGGTCTTCGAGCATATCTCCCCCTCCATGAAAGGCCCCCGCACCAGCGGTATGCTGATCCTGAGCATCCCTGATCTCCCCCCGGTGGGAATTCAAGGCCCAAATTAAGGCCACTCAGGGTGTTAATTTCTTTAAGGGCCTCATCTTGCCCGCAAGAAGCTTCGGGTTCAGGCCCTTTGGAGTCACTAGCAGCGGGTTCATTAGCGCGGACTGTACCATGTCTGACTTGAGACTCGGGGACTGTCTCCGAGCCCCCTGAGCCCTCCTCGAGGGTCTCCTCAGCACGGGTCTGGTCTAAATCGGCCGCCCCCGATTCGGCGGCCTCCCGCCCGGTATCTTGCGGAGCATCTTCGCCTCGTCTCGCCCCTTGTACCAAAGGGCATACACCATCATCATCATCACCTTCGTTCTCGGTCAGAGGACTTGCTATAGCAGTCGAAGTCAAGACCGTGGCATCCTTCTTCCTTTTCTTACCCTTGATGGGTTTCAAGGTGTCCTCTTCACCAACAGGGGTCGGCCTCATCGACACTCCATCCTTGAGGCTTGCACAAGCATGATTCATCAAATAAAAGGATACTCAGAAGGGAACATAGTAAAAATAACGGTAAAAAGCATACCGTGGCTCTTGGCCTGCCATCGCGTTCTGGACAAATCGCGCCAAGAGCGCTCAACATAAGGAAATTTGGAGTCAACTGTCTAATCGACCACGATAGGTTCTGAACCGTGCCAGGGTACCAAAAAATGGCTGAACAATCAAAAGAAGATCATTTGTCAAAAGAGGATGAAAGGGCAATAAAGTATGCTTGAGGTGGGGGCACTTACGCTACGTATTCCATTCCTCCGCGAATGGCATCATATTGGCCGGAATTACGTCCGAGGTCCTCACTCGGACGAACTGGCTCATCCACCCCCGATCCTTGTCCTCGTCAATGCTCGAGAAGAACGTCCTCGTAGATTGAGGATGAAGCTTGATTAGACCGCGAAAGAGACGGGGGCTGTATAGTCTGATCAAGTGATTGAGAGTGAAGGACATACCCTCCATTTGGTTAGAAAATATCGGAGCATATAGACTATCGTCTAGAATGAAGGATAAATTTTGCCAAGCGTCACCTGGTACTCACGACAGAAGTCAAGGATCACCGGGTCTATCGACGGAGAAGAAGGGTCCGAGGAATCTACGGGACCTAAAGTAATGGGGTATGTATATACGCTGAGAAAGCCAGCCTTATGGTCTACTATACTTTCAGCAGGTCCGGGAATCAACCGATACTGCTGCCCTCCATTGGCAGTCTTCCTTCACTCTATCTATTTTGGTCACCACGCTAATGTATCGAGATACATGCTCACATCGGCCTGGTGTGTTTTGAGGATTCTCGACGGAAAAATCGGATACAAAATCGAATTTAGTAGGGGTACATTGTTCGACAGTTGGGGGTCTTTTAGTTTTCCCTTGGATGGCCGAGATGAAGAGGTAGTGCCTTCTTTCTGAGGCACTGTTTTAGAGGTCCTAGCTATGGCTGTAAAAAGGTTTTTGAGAAAAAAAGTCGGGAGGTAAGCGCGAAAGGGAAAAGAATGTATGAGATGATGAACTTAGCTCTACAAGGTTGAAGATATTGTAAAAGTGTGAATAACAAGGCAGCGAAGGTATTTATAGAGGACGTATGGGCAGCGTTTGGGAAGCGGAAGGGCCGAACCAGTAGCGGGTCGTGGGCTTCTCGATAGTCGTGTTGACAGCGACTCCTGCGTGGCTTTTAGTCGTGGCATTTAATGCTCTGATGGACCGACGTCATGATAGTGAATATCGGATAGGCGGGAATTCAAGATCGTTTCTTATCATTTTTGTTCTATGAAACGCGGGGACTATCTGTATACGGTAAAAATTAGAGGGTCCAATTTTATGATCATTATGATATCCTGCAGCTCGTTCACGAACGGCTCGAGGCCAGGTTCGAGGCCCAACTCTGCGGGCTTCCATACGCTCGAACTCGAAGCAGGGAAAAGCAGCGGCTACGATGGACTAATGGGAAGTTCCCAAGGCACATGACTAAAGCTGGCCAAGCCTATTAGGCTAGTACAAGCCCGTACCGCGACATTAAATGGCTGTACCAGCCATATATCTTTGTAATAAATACATTTGTACTACGTTGGGATTCCCCCTCATATATAAAGGGGACCCATGTCATTTTGTAAAGGATTCACAACATTCAATACAAGAACATTCTCTGCTCTCTAACTCAAACATATTCTCTTGGTTTCATTACTTATAGTTATTGCTTATATTCATTGTGCTCTATTTATTGTTCGTCAGTCATTGCTCATTATTGACCGTAAAGAGCCTTCATCAAAGCTCTCAATACTTTTAGCCCTTCATCGGCCATTCATAACTCACCAACGAGCTCGACCTCAAGGCCCCGATTCTCAGCCGCTCGGTTTGCTTAGACATATTATTTCCAAGTTCTTATCTTATTTTCTAGCTTCACACTTAGCATCTACTGCCTAATAACTAGCCTAAAAACATACCACATATTTTTAGAACCACAAAATCAAATCTAATTGTAATTACCGTTTTCAAGGTAAATAACTTGTTTTTCTTTTGCAGGTCTCGGAAAGGATGTGCCGATGAGGCCTCCATCTGGTGAGGAGGAGACTTCGCCCCCAGTCCCGAAACTGGTGAAAGATAAGAAGAGGAAAAGGATCTCAACTTCTGAGAATCCAAAGCCCAAGAAATATCAGGCTCGTAAGCGAATGAAAGACACCGCCGTCCTACCTATGGAGGTAGTTCAGTGGATAAGATAGGAAGAAGAAGAAAATGAAGACGACGGCTCTGAGCTGGTGGCCCGAGTGAAAAGGAACACCGAAGCGCCAAAGGCCTCTAAGTCGGTGAGGGTTAGAGAGATTCAACCTCGAATCGAAGCGGTCTTGGAAGAGGAACCAGGCAAAGTGCCCGAGTTATTGGAGAACAGATGCCTCCCACCGAAATGAGCAGTCGGAGGGTATGTTTGAAGGGGCCAACTCCGAGGCCCTTCTAAATGAAGTGAACACTCCATGTGATTCACTGGGGAAATAGAAATCAGAGACTCTGAGCCGCTTCCTTCATTCTCAGAAGGGGATGTTCGGGAGGCTCAGGCCATGAAGGCCCCACAAGTAGAATGCGCCCTCGGAGGGGAGGACTTTTTCTAGGGTTATTTTGACAACGTCGACGATGTCGTTGGCTTGAATGACATGGACGTACTGAGGACGAGCTTGGGCGAATCTTCCTCGAGTTTCAGATTCACCAGCCAATTTCTGGCGCCCGGTGTTGATCCCAGTGCAAACGGACTATCATTATTACAGCTCCGGAGGATGCACGAGTTTTTGCCATCTCCGTAGGGGTGGCCAGCTACCTTCAAGGTCTATTCACTAAGGAAGATCAAGCTCTGATGGACGAGGTGGGAGCATTGTGTCTCTTCATTGAGGCCCAGCAAGCTTTGAATCGGGTAAGCCCTAACTTTCTTTGCTAACGACGGTCTTCGTACTTGTGTTTTTTCTCTCCTTGCCTAATTCTTTCTCGTCTATTTGTGTAGGCCTCAATACTCATCACGAGGATTTCTTTAAGTCTTGAAGAGAGTTGAGCCGATATGAGGCTTAAATTCAAGGGCTTACTGAGGAAAAAAATGCTCTCAAGCTTCTCGGTGAGCAAAATGATAATGAAATCAAAGCCCTCCGAGCTGAGCTGGCCACGGCCCAGAGAGAAACAAGCAAACTGACCGAGCTGAGCTACCTGTCTCTGCTAGTTATCCTTTTGTAGTCTAAACTGTTACTGGTTATTTATTGGCATCTGACAATTGTTTCTGAGATCGTCATTGCTTTCAACCCAAGGCTAGTATTGTTACTTATTGAGTACATGGGATTGGTTGTACTTATACTACACTCTGCACTTAGTGTGCAGATACAGGTGCATCCGATTGAGGCGATTTCCAGAGTTGAGTTTCTATTAGCTGTTGGGTGACTACGAGGTAGCTGCCATATCGTCAGCAGTCCTTGAAGTTCTTTTTCTGTTATTTCTATCTTTATTGTTATATTGGCTAGACAATTGTATTAGTGGATTTTGCTTGTATGTTGTTATTCAGTAGTACTCGTGTACTTGTTGACACAAGTTCTTGGGAAAGGTTGTATCTATATTTTTGTTATTCACTTCAGACATTTCATGATTTCTCCACTGTTAAGTTGTTAATCTATGTCTTAGCTATTTCATGGTTATCATGTGACTGTTGGCTTACCTAGCCGGTTGGGTTTATGTGCCATCATGAATAGTTGATTTTGGGTCGTGAAAAGTTGGTATCAAAGCACTAGGTTTCTTTGGTCTCAAGAGTCATGAGCAAGTTTAGTAGTCTTGCAGATCGGTACCGAGACGTCTGTACTTATCTTCGAGAGGCTACCGAACTGTTAGGAAACATCACTTTTTTTATTCTTGTCATGCGAAATTGTTATTTCGAAGTTTGGAACTTGACTCTTCTGCGCTCTCAGAGTTAGTGAGGACACGGGCGATCGGTTCAAGCGGACGGCCACCAGTACCACCAGTTAGAGCCTAGAGAGGCCGGGACACGGTAGAGGCTGTGGTGGAGCTTGTACTACAACCAGAGTGGCACCTATGGAGCCACCACTTGCTCCAATTGAGGAGAAGATACCAAATCTAGTTGAGTCGTTGGGACTAGTTCAGGCACCACCAGCGCCCATTGTTATTCCTGGCCTTCAGGAGGCCTTGGCCCAGATTTTGATAGTATTGAGCCTGGATTAGGCAGTTTTGATTCCAGCTGCACCAGCTACCTAACAGGTGGGGGAGGTGCCCAAACTGCCGCTTCCCGTACTCTTGAGCACCCAGCTCCGCACCATCAGAGCCGAGGGCACTACCAGTCCAGTGGGGGTGAAGGTTGTGCAGGTCGAGATCGCCCTAGAGGGGAGGTCAGATAGGTGGTGGTCAGGCTCGATGCTATGCTTTTCCCACTAGTCCAGAGGCAGTTGCTTTCGATGTTGTGATCATTGGTATTATTTCAGTATGCCACGGGGATGCCTCAATATTATTTGATCCTGGTTCTACTTATTATATGTGTCATCATACTTTGCTCGTTATTTGGATATGCCTCGTGATTCTTTAGTTGCACCTATTCATGTATTTATGCAGGTGGGTGATTCTATTATTGTGGACCATGTATATCGATCGTGCGTGGTGACCATTGAAGGTTATGAGACGAGCGTTGATCTTTTACTACTCATAATGGTTGATTCTGACGTGATATGGCATGGATTGGCCGTCACCGTGTCACACTATTCTGAATTATCACGCTAAGACCATGACATTGGCGATGTTGGGGGTGCCGAGGTTAGAGTGGAGTGGTTCTCCGAATCATGTTCCTAGTAGTGTGATCTCAAATTTGAAGGCTCAACGGATGGTTGAGAAGGGATGTTTAGCTTATTTGGCCTACATGAGGGATGTTAGTGCTGATACTCCTACAGTTGAGCCAGTTCTAGCAGCAAGGGACTTCCCAAATGTTTTTCCTGCAGACCTTCCAGGCATGCCACCTGACAGGGACATTGCTTTTTGTATTGACCTGGTGTCGGGCACTCAGCCCATCTTTATTCCTACGTATCGTATGGCAC